ATAATGGTCAGAATAAAAGTTTGGCGGCGGCGGCGGCGCCCAATGGCAACAGCGGCAGCAACTCCTGGGAGGAGGGCAGCTCGGGCTCGTCGAGCGACGAGGAGCACGGTAGGTGCGGCCCCGGCCCCATCGCGGCCCCCGCCCGGCCCGGCCCGGCCCGGCCCGGCTGACCGCGTCTTGTTCCCCGCAGGTGGCGGCGGCATGCGGGTCGGACCCCAGTACCAGGCGTCGGTGCCTGACTTCGACCCGGGTGAGTAGCGCCGGCCGGCCCGCGGCGCGGGACCCCGACACAACTTTGTTCTTGTGCGTCGCGGCCCCGGGGTCCGCGGGGCACGCGGCTGGCCGGGGCCCGCGCGCTCGCTCGCACGCGCGTGTTCCGCACGCCAGGCGGCCGCTGTCGGCCTGCTGCGAGTCCGCGCCTCGGCTCCCTTCCCGCCCCCGCGCCCCAGTCCCGGAGGCGGCCGCACCTGGGGGTGTCCGCGTCCAGGTGAGATGCGCCCCCAGGCGGGGGCCAGCCCAGAGGCGGCAGTGCCCGCGATCGGGCCTCGGAGGGCCCGGACGGAGGGGGACGGAGACCCCAGCCTCGGGTCCCGCCGCTGACCCTTGGACTCCCCCCATCCTGGGGACCAGTGGTACAACGACCCCCAAAATCAGAGGGCCCCTGGCTGGGCAGGAGAGGCTCGCGTATGGCGGTATGATTTTAGAACCTATTTGTAACAGTGTGTGCATTTCCTTTATCTTTTTCTTTTCTGTTTTCGGGGGGTGGGGGTGGGGTGGAGGTCGTGAAAGAATAGAACCTTCAGAAGCTTTAGCTAACCAGTGATTTCCACCTCCCAGAAAGCCTGTACCCGGAATGGAGCATGCACTTCCCTTGCCACTGCTGTTCAGTGGAAGCAAATTTAAAGTGGTACAAGAAAAAAAATCCAATCAGACAAAGGAATTCGTCAGATTTTAATGCATGAGACTCTAGCCCTTCTCTGTATGAGACTAGACTTTAAAGGTTGTTGGTATAGAAAAGGTTTGAAAGGACGTGGGTTTTGTTTCAGGAATAACAGTCAAAAGAGTCTTGTAAAGATGGAGTGAAAGGTCCTCCTGCTTGGAGGGCTTTAGAACTGGAGGTTCTCTAAGTAGGTTAGATCACTAGTTTGTTTGAAAAAAAAAAAAAAAAAGAAAAGAAAAAAAAAGCTTTTCCTTGGAAACAAGGCTGCAGAAAATTGCAAGGATTTGGTACTCGAAAAAGGAGATTGCTCTCAGGCTGTTATTAAGTACTAAACTCTGGGTGTACTTAAAGGTGGAAATACAGACAGATGCCCCGGTGAGGGCACTCTGGAAAGAAATGATGTTTCCCAGATTTGCCCTCTAAATTGTGGTTTGTTAGCTTCAGTCTTGTATTTACTTAGTCTCACTCCCAGATTGGTATTTCTGTTAAACCCGTGTTAGTATTTTTGCTACTTTCCCCTTCCCCCACACCTTCCTTTTTTGGTCGTCACTTCTCGTTTGTGAGTGACAGGATGGAACCGAGGCCAGGCTTTCTCTTCCGTGCAGGCTCCTCCATTCCAGAGTTGGCCGCCAGGGGAAGCATACTGTTTTTTGGTTACAGTTGACCCTATCTTCATTTTGTAGGTCAAGTCTGTGTGCGGTAATACCCAGGATAAACAGCTTGTCCTCAGGCTTCCCCTACGTATTATTATTCTTCCCCGCACATTATTTTTAAAAATCAGTTTGAGCAAACATTGGAATAAGCTGGTCAGTTTTTGGTACATTTTTGTCACCTATATTTAAAAAGCTTTAAATGTATATTGGGTGGGACTTAGGAAAAGGGCGTATTTGATGGTCATACAATTTAGATTTCTGACATTCATTTAAATCTTGATGTGTAGCTCTACCTTGTCAGTGATAGGAGTGAGCTTCTTTGGAGTTGTTCTCTTGTTCGAATCGGCAAATGTCACAGGGCCATATTTTGGACAGTCCTTGGACTATTTGGTGGGATATAGGCATAAACTTGCTGAGGCTACTATTCTTTTTTTTTTTTTTTTTTTAACCGCGCTATAGTCTCAGCCCCATTTTATTTTATTTTACTTTTGGTTTTTTTTTCCGGTACCGGAAATCGAACTCATGACCTGGCGCTTGCCAGGCGGGCGCTGTGCCACTGAGCTAAATCCCCAGCCTCCCCGTTTTATTTTTTATTTATTTTTTTTGGTACTGGGAACTGAACTCACAACCTTGCACTTGCCAGGCAGGCGCTGTGCCGCTGAGCTCTATCCCCAGCCCCTAATTTTTTATTTTGGAACAGGGTCTTGCTGAGTTTCGTAGGCTGGTCTCAAACTCGTGACCCTCCTGCCTCCGCCTCCCAAGGTGCTGGTATTACAGGCCTGTGCCACTGTGCCCATAGTTTCTTTACAAGAGTAGAAAAAGTCATTGTCTCCCTGAATGGGCAGTGAGTGCTTCTTTGTTTTTTTTCTTTTACCAGAGTTTATTTTATTTATTTATTTATTCATTTATTCATTTATTTTGTGAAACAGAGTTTTGCTGTGCTGTTCAGGCTGGCCTTGAACTCACTATGTAGTGAGGCCTTGAACTCAGTGATCCTCCTGCCTCAGCCTCCTGAGTGCTGGGATTGGCATGCACCATCACACCCGGCCATATTTTATCAGAATTTGATCAGAGAAGTAGACATAAAACTCCTCAGAAAACTTTTTTCTTCCACTGTATATAGTAAAGGTATGTGAGTGGACAAAATTGTTTCCAATTTAAGCCAGATTTTACTTACCTGCAGATCCCTGTATGGCCCTGTTTGTGGGGTAGTTGGAGTTGAGGTCACCTGCTAGTCCCTCGGGAGCTGGGCAGCATTGGTCCTGTCCCTCAAGATGTGAACAGAGATGTGAGCGGGGCAGGTGGGGCGGCCTGGTCCTAAGTGCTGACTCAGTGACTTGTGTCTAATTAAGACGTCCACTTGATCTTGGAGCACAGTGTAGTGTGGGGGTGAAGACACCATTTCTGTTCACAAGGAAGAGTTTCACCATCTGGAGTTAAAAACAAAAGCCACAGCACGGCCAGGCCCCACACCTTTGGTTTCCGTGTGGTCCCCACAGGCGATGTCCAGGCCAGGGCTGGGCGGAGCTTTCACTGGCGCCTCACACCCTTCTGTGCTGAGGAGGAGAGTGGCGGAGGAGACTGGCTGTCCCTGCCTCTGGCGGCCTTTTATCCTAGACTGGTAAAGTGTCGCTTACCTTGAACGAGAAGTGTTTCTCTATGTAGTAGTGTGTGTGTCCCTGTGGCCTCTGTCTCTGGTCATTGTTCGGGGAGCACAGTGACAGGTGTGGGCTCAGCCCGAGGTCTGTGTTTTCTGAAGTATGCGCTGTGCCAACTTTATCACACATTGATTTTCAGTAGCATAGTTCATGAGTGCCGAAATGATGACTCGTAACACAAGAGGACTTCTTGTTTGTTTTTGGTGGTGCTGGGGTGGAAGCCAGGCCTTTTGCATGCTAGGCGAGTGCTGTACCATTGAGCTATAATCCCAGCCTCTAGAGGAAATTGTTAATGAGGAATATTATTATTATTATTATCATCATCATTGTCATTATCATTATTATTATTATTATTGTTTGTGGTTCTGGGGTTGGAACCAGGGCGTTTGTGCCTCAGCTTCCCAGAGTGCTGCGCTTACAGGCATGTGCTGTCATGCCTGCTTTTTTTTTTTTTTTTGGTGTGGAAATCCAATTCAGGACCTTGTGCTTACCAGGCAAATGCTAAGCTGCTGAGCTAAATCTCCAGCCTTTGTGCCTGGTTTTGATGGTGACTCGTTTTGAGGTAGTATGTCTTCAAAAAACCAACCTGTGTTTTAACATTGGATCCAGTGCATTTAAGCGGATTGGAAAATCTGTGGTTATCATTGGTTTAACTGTCACTTCAGCACTGGTTTGTAGTAAAATGAGTCCCACTTTCATATGGAGTAGCAGTGTTACTGGACAAGGGGCTTGACCTGCCTTTCATTTGTTTTCACTAATGACTGTTTGCTCCTCTTCTCCTTGGACACATTATTTTCTATGCTTTTAGTTCATTATAAAAATCTATTTTGGAGCCGGGGGTATAGCTCAGCGCGGCACAAGCACCTGTCTGGCAAGTGCAAGGTCCTGAGTTCAATTCCTGGAATCACCCCCAAAATTTATTTTGCCAGGTGTAGTGGCACATGCCTGTAATCCCAGCACTCAGGAGGCTGAGGCAAGAGGATCACTGTGAGTTCGAGGCCAGCTTGGGCTACAAAGTGAGTTCAAGGCCAGCCTGAACTGCACACAAAACCCTGCCTCAGAAAGACAAAAAAATAAAAATATTTTAAAAACTATTTTATAGATGTTCTAAAATTCACAGGTAATGGTGAACACTTTGTGACTTAGATATTATTCTTTTTTTTTTTGGTACTGGGGATCGAACTCACAACCTTGCACTTGCCAGGAAGGTGCTTATGCCACTGAGCTATATCTCCAGCTGTAGATACTGTTGTTTAAGGAAATGTTTGCCCATGAAAAGTCAGGATTTTATAGGAAATGATGAGTTCTAGGAGTGGCCCACTGTATTAAGAGCTGTGGTAGGAGCTGGTGTGTGGTGCATGCCTGTAGTCCCAGCATTTGGAAGCTGAGGCAGGAGGATGGTAAGTTGGAGACCTCCCTGGGAAATTTAGCAGGACCCTGCCTCAAAATAAAAAAATGAAGAAAGGCCAGAATATAGCACAGTGGTAGAGCACTCCTGGGTTTGATCACCATTATTGCAAATTAAAAAAAAAAGAGCTGTGCTGAGGAAACCCCCAAGCTGGCTGTCAGCCTGAGTGTGCATCCTCCACTGCAGGGCAGTGCGAAGCGGAGTTGGTCCCTGGGCTCCAGGACTCTGCTCCTCAGTCCCGAGTCAGTGCTTTTCATCACAAACTGTGTGTGATTGTGCTGGCCGTAGACTAGCAGCTTTCCACCCCCTGCTTCTTTTAGAAGCGGTAGGCAGCAGACTGCCAGGGCCCAGACTGGGTCAGAACTGGCTTCCCAGCCAGGCAGTGCCCTTGCCATTGATTGGTGTGTGTGTGTGTGGGGGGGGGATGGGTGTGGGTGCGTGTGTTACTGGGAATTGAATCCAGGACCTTCCTGGTGCTAGACAAGCATTCTATACCACTGAGTTACATCTTTAGCCCTACCCCCTCAATTTTATTTTGAGATAGTCTTGATGACTTGTTCAGGCTAGTCTCTTTCTTGTGATCCTCCTGTC